CAGTTCATGGGCCTTCGGGCCACTGATTCGCCGCCAGCATGTCTAATAAAAATGGATGCAGCAGGAGAGCTCGAAGGAGCGGCCCATGAAGTCGGTCTCGTCCCAGAGACAAGCTTGCCTAACAGGTGGCCTCACAATACCGTCCTGGAGCGCGACATTCGCGAAGAGAAGGAATGCTGTCGCAGCATCCACTTGCAATCAGGGTTGCCCTATTCGTTGCATACGTTTAGCTACCCATTTGCATGCCTCACCATGTCGTTCGACAGGCCTGCTCCATTCAGCCCCGGTAAAACCCAATGGGAAGCCCTCACAAAGGAAAAGTTCCAAGGGAAGAGATGCTGTTTCGGGCAATTGGTTTGGTACAGAACCAAGACTCCTGGCAAGCGCACTCTCGATCCGAACATGGCGCCAGCGCTCTTTTTGGGTTGGAGGGTCGATCCGGGGTTGCGGTACCGTAACGTGGTCAAAGTCATGGACTATGAAGCCTTCCGTAAAGACGGTTCCATTTCCGTTCACGATGTTCCTGAACCGGAATTGTTCGTTGAGGACGGACCGCCAAGCTTTCCGATCGCAGCAGCAGCAGATAGAGCATTGCATGGAGGCAAGACAGACGGGTCAGATCCCCCACCTTTGCCCCTGCGAGAGGCGCCCTTTGGCGCCCCACCGACTCCATCCGCTGTCAAGTCAAAGTCCGTATACATAACTGTTGAGAGGATCATCAAGTTCAAGGAAACGCCAGGTTGTCGTGCATGCACCGGTCATTCCAAGATTCACAGCGCCGAATGCAAGAAGAGGTTCTCCGAACTTGTTTCTGCAGATAGAGCTGAAGCAGCTGCAAAAAGCGCTGCCAAAATTGAATCTAAGGAACCCATTCCCATTGTTCATACTGAAGGGGATGAGGAGCTAGCCAGGGCAATCCACGCATCCGAGCATGAGAAAGATCCTAAAATCGCAGTTACTGCAGAAGATGTCCCGCTCCCTCAAGACCCGGTGCCTCATTTTTCGATTCCGCGCCAGCGACAGCCGCTACATCGCAAGGTGAAGATTTTTGGGTGCTCAAAGAAAATGCCAACTGTTTGGTTCGGTACCATATCATGCCAAGGCAGAATCTTTTTACCCCGAAGGAGGTCGAGGATTGCCCCGTTTCCCCAGAAAGATTTACTGCAGCTCGCACCACTCGTGCCGTGTTTCAGGGGGGCAAAGCAGACAACATTCACGATGGTTGGTTTGGTAGCCGACCTAATCGCTCACTTGGAGATCCATGGACTGGGTTCACAGTGTTCAAGTTACAACCCATTCAGTCCGATTGCGTTATCACCACAGGTGCAGCCGTGATGTTAGACTCCGTACCGCCGACACCTCTCACCGAAGCGTCAAAGAACGGTCGTCCAGATACATTGCCAATTTTTGGCATGCCGTGCAGCGCAGAGGTTGAAGCTCCGCAGCCCAAGCAGTTTGAGGTAGGAAATCATCGTGCCCGCAAGCGACAGGCACGCATTGATAAGTTGCCTGTGATGTTCGAATACGCATGTTCACCAGAGTCCAATATGGGTCGCGTGTTTGAAGGTCTTGGCATACCTCATGTTAGGCTGGCTAAAGAGTTCATCGACCTTAGCACAGATGAAGGAGAAATCCAATTGCAGTCACAGATAGAAGGTTGTGATAAACGGGCTGCAATTGCAATCAGGTTCAGGGCAACGCCTTAATAAGGCCAAGTTAGGAAGCCAGTTCAAAAAGAAACTGAAGCAAAAGGTTAGAGAGTCGAGAGAGTTGTTCTCCAGATTCAGACGTCACGCTGAGACTGTCCTCCATCAGGGGGGTAGTGTTTCGTTTGAATGGCCAAGGGATTGCGACAGCTGGGCTAGGGATGATGTTTCTGCATTCTTTAGGGAATACGCACAGGTCTTCACCCCAGCGACCTTCCACGGTTGCGCCCTAGGTCTGAAGGACAGCAATGGTTACCCCATCAAAAAGCCATGGAAAGTCATGACCAGCAATAGCACCCTCGCATCCGCGCTAAGTGCATTCAAGTGTCCGCACGAAAAAGGGTATAAACATTCGCTTGCAGCAGGTAACAAGACCGCAAAGACCGCTTTCTACCCCGAAGGCATGTGTCTCACAGTTGCCCGTGCGCTGTATCCGACAGTTCAGCCCGTTGTGCCTGCGATGCCTGTCCAAGTGCCATTGCCTCTCGACCACCGGGAACGTGAGCAGCAGCTAAAACACATATCCCCTCTCTCTGGTTTGGAAGATATAGGTATTGCTGTTGAGTCCGATGAAAAGTGTCACGACATCCTTGAACAAGTTCTTGATGTTGAAAATCTCATCGCACATTCCCTAAGACAAGTCAAGGAAGAGAAGGATCCTGAAATCACCGCAATGGTGACCAGACTCTTGTCACGTGCCGAAATGTTGGCTTCCCCGGAAGCCCTTGAAGCCGTTCGACTTGAAGCCACAGGCCTGGAGAAAGCCGGTGTTTGGGATCTAAATTCAGTCCGAGAGTATGATCAAGTCGCTGCTGAGGCGCGACGATCCAGTGTTAAAGTCCATTTCGGGCAGTTGATGTCGCTAGCATCCGTCAAGTTCGCCGAACTCGCGAAACACCTTCAGAAGATGAAAGGTAGGATTGTGTATCGCGGAGACTGTGCGAAAGACGAACATGGCGCAGCAGCTGTCTACCAAGAACTGGGAGCAAATCCCACGAGCGTACAAGGTCTTAATAACTGTCTCGCTTATGGATCCCTGCCAGGGAACTCCACCACAACAGCGGACGCTATAAAGGCTTATGTGCAAGCACTGCTGAAATCCAAGTACCAAACTTGGATCACACTCCCGCCTGAGCTCCGGCCAAGGTGGTGGCGCGAGCGTTTCGTGAAACCTGTGGTTTTGCTCGTTAAAGCTCTTTATGGGCATCCTGACGCTGGCGGACTCTGGGAGGCACACCTCAAAGGTTTCATTAGTGAACTTGGAGGGCGTGAGGTCGCAGAGTTTCCTGGAAACTTCTGGTTCAAGGAGTCCGGGTTACTTCTCTCGACATACGTCGACGACTTGACGTTGGCCGGCCCCAGCCACCTTCATAAAGACTTCTGGGAAAAGTTAACAAGACTGGTTGATATAGAACCCCCAGAAGACATATATCGGGTGCTAGGCAGGAATCACCCTTTGATAGATGCTCCAAAGGACCCAACTGAACCTGATCTTAATGCCGCAATGGGCAGATTGAAAGGGGGCATGGCGTTCGACATGCGAGATTATGCTCGTCAAACGGTTGCATTATATCTTGAGGTTGCACAGCTAAAAACTGAAAAGTTGCGTGATGCCACCACTCCATTCTGTCCCGCTGGATCTTTAGACCCTGCGGATGACGCCTTGGAGGGTGAGCTCGGCTTCGCCGCTTGCCGCGTGTTGATGAAAGCCTTATGGCTGGGCCGTTTGGCACGCCCGGACCTGGTCAAGCCCATTGGCGACCTTGCTTCCTTTGTTCAGAAATGGTCTAGGAACTGCGATAAGCAGCTACATAGGCTTGTCTGCTACATAAACAGCAGGGTTAACAGCACGCTAGTTGGCACAGTTCAGGATTCGACTGATGAGTTGCATCTCTCTCTCTCTCTATGTGGACGCTGATTTCGCTGGAGAACGATACGCAAAGTCGACGTCCGGAGGCTTCTTGATTTTGAGTGGTCCACATACGCACTTTCCCCTCGCGTGGGTGTCTAAAAGGCAGACCTCGGTCTCCCGATCGACAACCGAGGCGGAAATCGTATCTCTTGCGTACTCCCTGTACCAGGAGGCACTTCCTGCGCTCAGCTTATGGGAGCTGATCTTGGACAGACCATTCCATCTCAAGATCCACGAGGACAATCAGGCGACCATCCTCGTAGCAAGGAAAGGTTTCTCATCCAAGCTACGCTGTGTACAACGCACGCACAAGGTGAATCTCGCTTGCATCGCAGAGCAGCTTGAAAGCGAACATATCTCAATAGAATACGTCCAAACAGACATGCAGTCAGCAGACATCTTCACGAAAGCACTTCCGCCCAACAAGTGGGACCATGCCATCCGGTTGCTCGGCATTCGTGTTGACCTTCCAGAGAAGCTTGAAGACGTTCGTGAAAGTAGATCCGCTAAAGCAGCTGCCTAGTGCGCTGCAGCATGTCCGCAAAATCCAAAAGTGTGCAAGTGACTGGGCGATGCTTGAATAACTTGCGTCAGTCGTTGTGATGTAAACTTGACTTCAAGTTGGCGTGGTAATGCGCCCAAGACACTCCCTCAGTGCCGTCAATGAGGGGGGAGTCAATTATCACGATGACATTTATGGCCCAGAGGTTCATGAGGTAGGTACTCATGTTGCAAGGTACAAGACCAATGGCATGTCCGCATGTCATTGCTTTGGCTCAAGGAAAAGAGCGCGTTGCACGCGCTGCCACAAGGTTAAGGGAGAGGTCGCAGTCACGGCGGGGTTCGTTCCTTTTAAGGTCCCGGGTTCCCCCGTTGTTGAGAAAACTGTGTTTCCCTCTCCTTTGAGTGGTTTTCCCCAAAAGCCGCAAGTCTTTGGTGGATCCGGAAAAGATCTTTGGGCACTGGACCCGCTTGGGCACACACCGTCGCTTGAACTGGGCACCGATGTTTTTGCCGTGATTTGCCGGCACAGGTTTGAGGCTCGCTGGCTGCGGGAAGGGGTTTGGCTTGGTCACGGATTGAAAGAGAAGTTGGAGGCGGGAACCTTTTGCAAAAGACAAGTGACTGATGGCAAAGACCTGGGCCAAAGCTTTGGGTTACCGCGGGTTTTGTCAAGTTTGAGTCTTAGTGTGCCTAGGAATTTTCATGGGGAACCCCTCATATGCCGAAGGGTTCAACCATGCCCGCAAGGATCTATTCCGAATTCCAGCCGGCAGTTGATGTTTGCTCCTCCAGGGGAAGACCTATTGAGGGCCCCATTTCTTGGAGTTGAGCGTTTTGTGCGCTGCTTGTCTGTCCATATAGTGGGTGAAACACGGCCCATGGCTGTCTTCCCACGCCAAACATGCCAACCAACCCACCCCCAAAACACCCCACCCCCAACCCCCCCCCCCCCGCAGGTCCTCGGCGCGAAGGGGGAGCTTCCCAACCTCAAGCTCCCCGCCAGGGCCTCAAAGCACGCCAGTAGGAGCCCTGTGGCCATGGGCGGCTCTCCTTTTGGCTTCCAGCCAACAGGAGGTCCATTTGACGATTTTTTTTGGGACCCCCTAAAAACTAAGTTCTCCTTGTGGTTCCCCGTACAAGCCCAAGCTCCAAAACAGACCAACCCATTTCCAGAAAGCTTCGTTCAGCTGTGAAGCATCTGAATGCAGCCTTTTTGGGGTTGAAGAACCTTCCAACGCCTCAGACAGACTTCGTTGCTTCGTTCCCCCAAGAGTAGATCTCCTCGAGGTATTTGGATGGACAAAATCCTGCAACAGTTGGTAGGTGACCGGTAGGTGGTCTATCCCAATTTAAATCGGGCTGCGTGCATTCTGTCCATCCACAGTCAAGCTGGCCCGTGGGCGCTCTCTGTATTTTTTTGGGGGTTTCACAGGTGGTTACCTGAGGTTACCACGTTCAGGACATCCAGTGATGCTCTTTTTACTTGGTCAATGGCGAGTGTTTATTGTTTTAGTCTCCAAATGGCCTCACCAAGTCATAGTTCCACCCCCTCTAGTAGCGACCTAGTAGTCACCTGGTTTGTGACTACCTGGAACCCCCCCGGGTTAAACCGCCCCATTGGCCCCTTGCCGAGGAGGGCAGCAAGGAGCTGAAAGACGAGAAGGCGGTGCGGCTCTGCGAGCTCATCGACGTGGTGGGCGCTGCTGTGGGCATCCGCGCGTACCACCGCGCCTCTGGCCTCAGCGCCCTGTCGAAGATCCTCTGGGTGTGTGGCTTGTCGAGCCGGAACCCCCGCAATTTCGGTGCTGCTGTTTTCCTTGAAAGCCACAAAAGAGGGGTGACGTCAAAGAAAGACACGCACACCCTTTTGTTTTTGTTTTTTGAGGAGGGCCAAGCGATGGATGCTGAAACAAGTGTTCTTTGACTCCAGTGGCAAGAGTGTTGTGAATGGGGCTGGTTACTCAACACAGGTGCGGCACCACAAATCAGCAAAGAAAATCAACCAGATGAAACTAGCCAACGAAATCTAACATTGAACAACTGCCACCATGTTAAGTGGCTGGCTTTTCGGGATGAGCAAGAAAGAAGAGCAGGGGATAGCCGTGTCTATTTGGCAAAGAGGAAACGAGCAAGCAGGAGGTTTTGGATAACTAGATCGTAACGTTGCCAAGAACTTCGGTTTGACCGAAACGGGCCCATGATGAAGCTTCCCTCTGTTGGGTGTGCATTAGTTGATGAAATATCTTAATTCACTCAGGAGTACGGGTGTGCATCTTTTCGAGGACCCCCCCTTTCGGCTGGTCTGAAAAAAAGGCAAATTAGAATTTGGGTCTACCATTTCGAGACCAACCCGTATTGAATCATGAAGCTCCTGAATGGTTCAGCCGCACTTTGACCCGTGTCCGCAAACAGCGCAGCTCTGTATGGGTGAAGGTTCCTCGGACATCTCTTTGGGTGTGTCTTTGGGTTCTTTTTGAACAGGCCTGACTGACGTGTCTAAATGAAATTGAACATGAACTGCCACATCACTGGTCCAACTAATATTAACTAAGTCAGTCCCCCTCCCATCAATTGGGGGAGCCCCTGCCAGAGGCCTTCTTATTCAGAAACTTTGCCCTCAACAGGAATTCTTTGAAATTGATCAGGGGATTCCATGTCATAGTTTTAGGCAGAATTTGCCCAAGCTTGAGCGTACATTCTCATGACTTTTGGTTCTTGACCCCACAGCCCCCATTCTATTCTCTTGGACTTGACTGGAAACCTTAGAAGGCTTCGCTCAGGCATGCCCACGCTCTCGCCTGTGCCTGCGGAGGAGTGACGGACGCGGACGTGTTTCCCTGTCAATGTTGAGACCAAAACTGCAGGTGTATTTGTCCGCGTGTGCCTTTTTGAGGCTGGGTATCCTTTGCGCCTTTGAACATAAAAGGGATTTAACCATTGTGTTGGGCCCCCTTTGTTGACACATAATGGCTATTTGCCTGTTTGACGGTGAGCTGGACGCAGCCATGAAAGCTCCTTGCTTGAGGCTTCCTGTTTCAGGCTTTTATGATGAACGTTGCAGATGTATCGGTGCGGGGGTCCCCCAGATTTTAGCATACGCCCATTGGTTCTTTAACTATACTCTCCATGCAATTTCCGAACTCAAATGGCACAAGGGATCTCTTGTTTTGGTTTTGAATCTAGCCCCCCCCCCAAAAAAAAATCAGGAGAAGAGCCAGTTGCCTATTGAGGGGGAAAGGTTTGGATGACTGATTTTCCAGAGGTCCGCGAGCAAAAATCAGTGCCGCTGGAATTCCGAAGAGCGTTGTTTGTTTCCATGTCTTTGGGCCGGTGGCTGTGAGTTGAATATGGTCCAGATCTTGCAACCGGCTTGTGAAATCCACAAAAAAAAAACGGAGCCCGAACATTGGAAAAAACAACTTTTGCCAGCTCTCTTTCCGACACGTTGGTTTTGCATCTGGTTGTCCTAAACTCGGCTCCCCTTTTTTGGAGCACGCGCCGGGTGCACACCGAAGTGCTTATTTTGACCCCCCCCCCCCCATCCCTTTCTGTTGAAGTGGGTGAAGTGGGTTTCCAGCAGCCGGTGCTCTGAAATCGGGTTGGCTAGGGGAACCAAAGGGCACCATGTTTCACCGGGACGCAAGGAGACTGAAAAACCATCAACACGGCCTCCATTCGAGTTTGTCTTTTTTGAGGCTCGGCACCCCTTTTTTCGAGGGTAAATGGAAAGACACCCCTACGAGCTGTGATCTTTGGGACGACAGACACCAGTGGATTTCCCAACAGGACCACAAGGTGCATCTGTCTTCTTGGGGTACCCTTCTTTAGGCTACAGCAAGTTTGAACCCCTTGGATCATATCATCCATTTGCACTTGCATAAACAAGAGAAACGGATTCCCTTTGCAGATCCATATGCCTGTCTACCCTCCTTTCCTTGGTTTGGGGAGGGGTTCCCCCGGTTTGAGGGGTCGAACCCCCGAACAGGACAAGGCACCGCTCTTCCAGCGGGTCACGGACTTCTGCTCCTCAGGAGCCTGGAGCACGATGCGATTGGGCTGGATCTATCTTCCATTGCCAGACCAAGCCAAACCTGTTTTGACATATGTCTCTCCCTTTGAGGCAGACACGGAACTTGTTGCAGGGCGAAGTCTGGTCAAGGAACTTGTTTGGCAAAATCAGGATGTTCCTTGCCGCTGCCAGGAATCTGGCCGAAGGTTGTGCGAAGGTCCGTTTGGGCAGAGGGCCATGTCCAGAAAGACTTGGGTCGGCCCAGTCTACTTCTGCACAAAAAACCGCCGGCAGGTTCCGGGCCATATATCTGCGGACCTACGGTAAAACGCTTTCAACAGAGATTCTAGAAGTGAGGCAAGTGGTTCACCACCTGGGCAACCCACAAAACCCTGTTTGGGACAGAGGCTATAACCTGAGCCTTCCGTTCGCCCTTTGCATTTCATTGGGGGCAACCACAATTCGAAGACCTCCGAAGGATCTGCGCAAATTCTTGGTGCTGTGGTTTCTGCCCGATGTGGGGCGCCGCGAAGCGATTGGTTTTGCTGGGTGTGAACTATGTCTTACCCGGAGAGCGGCCCAGGGCGACAAAAACTGTTCGGGCGTCTTTGCATGGGCAAATTCGGTCATATCCCCACCCCAAAATGAATTTATAGTGCGGGCCTCAAGGGTTTTTGTTTATTTGTTATCCATTTCCCCTGGCTTGGAAAAGGAAGTAATGTATCACCAGGGGTCGCCTCCAAACAGACTTTACTCTTTAAGGGAACAGGATTAGAACATCTAGGTCCCCCAGTAGTGCCACTTTACCCTTTTGTGGGGGGAGGGTTCCCCTACTAAAATAGACTACAGAAACGAAAGGGTACCCTTATTCTAACCTTGCTTCTGGAGGACCTAGACATATATACGTGTTTCTGTGTAACACAAATGATTGAAGGTTCAACCCCTGTCAGGCCTCACCTGGGACAGTATCTCCTGGGGCCCTCGCTTGGAGGCGACGGAAGATGTTGGGTCTTATGGGTCCCAAAACGGGCTCACCCCGAAAAGGAGAAACTCGCACACCCATACCGTGGTGGTTGCCATCTGGTGCCTGAGGTTTTTAGGGTTTAGTACTGTAGTAGTTTCCACTAAACAACAAAAAGATAAACACACTTTTAGCAGGATACATGAATGCAACGTATCATTGCAACACACGCTGTGAATTAGGTTTGCCCCTCATGAGGCACAAAGGAGCCCTGCGGGACATGGCTCTCAGACACCGTCAAACGCGGATGGAACTATCGAGTGCAAGCTGTGTGGCAGCTCTATCACGGTCGAGGATTACCCTCCCTTAAACCTCCATAAGTCAGAGTCATACTTCAATTGAGAATGATGAATATGAACGTAGTGTTAATAATAGCGATACTGAACATGAGAATGATCAAGCGACTGACATCATTAAACATTTGCAATGATAATAATATAATACTGGAAGAACTGATAATGTGATAATACTGATAACTTATAACGCAATCGTATTGAGAACGCTGCAATAGGCTTGTCATGGATTCAAACTCTTTGCGCACACGTCCGCTCTCATCCTGTAGGTTTCCTCTTTTGAGTTCGTGAAAGTAAATGACGCAATTCCCCCATGTTGAGTTCATCAATCTGCTTCAGACACCCACATACACGGGAATTGCGCCGTCCACTTTCACGGCGCAATCTGCAAGATTGAGCTAGAAGCGTTCCAATCATTAAAGTTACTAGTCCTGACTCCCAGACTCCCAGGCGTCCAGACTCCCAGGCTTGCCTTTTCCAACCTTGGTTTCCCGAGACCAACTCACGAATGTTCAACGTCTGGCATACATGGTGGGTCATGTACCCGAGGTACCGTGGGAACGGGGCTGAAGCCACACCGCTTTGTTTGCCGTTTTGGTATCATTCCCTCGTTCCTTCCAAAGTGCCTGACACGCCATGGGAACGTGAGTTGTGGGCCGTGCGAATGGCCCCAAATTGTAACTGACCAAGTCATTTGGAAGGCCGGAATTAAAATCCCAGGCAACAGTTGCTTTGTTTTCTGTGGCCCTCCCTTTGTCAGGGCCAAAATCCTACCCTTTTGAAGGCGATTCAATGGGGTCTTTAGAGCAACCCTGAGACAAGCACATCCTGCAACTTCAGAAGCTTCGAGGGGATCCTGGTCAATTCTCGAAAAACATGAAGGGTTCTCGTCTCAGGAACTCTCAAAATGAACCCAGAAAAAAGTGTCTGAGGAGTATGCATGTGTGCGAGAGACCTGTGTTGGGTTGCTCTAAAATGATGTGGCTACGCCGGCCACTTGTCCTGGCGATTTAAGGCAACCACGCACCTATGAACGGAAACCAAAAAGAGGTGGTTTAAGCAACAGCTGTCTGAGCGTGTTTAAACCAGGGTCTTGGCCAGAGCCACGTCACAGACTGATCGTTTCATCCAGCCACCCTTGAAAAGTTGTCTATTGCTCCTCCTTTTCGGGGATGATTGTGGTGGACACTTGGGGTCCATGTTGCAACCTCCTGCCTTAGGGTTGTTGGGTTTGAGTCTGCAACATAGACTTTACGTGTCCATGGTAGCTGTGGCCCTGTGAGGCTTTGGAGGTGGAAGGTCAACCAAGGCCTTGCCGTTTCCTTGCTGGCTCCCAGCCATCCCCTTAGCTTTTTAGCCTTTTCATGTTGGGTGGTAGTTTCCGTTTAACCCACTAAAAGTTAAACTTTTAGCGGGGATCTGAGAGCAGTTCAGTTTCGTGCAGTCTTCGTGAGGCGAAAGATCTCAATCTGGATGTGTACAAGCGACTGGGCGCCCCGGCCTTCACGGAGGGGGGAGCAAAAAGGGACTCCATGGGCTTTATCAAATGCAACAAGTGAAATACGGGTGTGTTCCAACACCCCCGTTTCGATCGGTTGCTTGGGTTTTCTGGATGTCCCATCTCTGGAGTCTCCAACATGATTGTTTATTTTAGGGTAGACCTAACATGAAACGGAGTCAGACCATGTGTTTTTGCTTGCCCAGATGGCAAGCACTCCTAGTGACAGATCTTTTGTGTCTTGAGCCTGCTGCAATGTGTGGAAATATGGCCCAGACTTCCAGGGCGTCAACCTTTATCGACTTTTTTGGAAGGTGTTTCCTAAAGCTTTTGCAACCACCAAACAAAATGTGCACTTTGCTCCCCTGAGCACCCTGTGGGTTCATGTCGCAGGCGTGGCCGGTGTGTGGACATACGAAAATGGACTGTTTGTTTGCTTTTCGATTTTGGGTGGTTGTTGTATATACGGCATGATGACTTAGACCCGGCAAGCAGTAAGAGGTTTTTAAAACCACAGCTCAGACATCAGGGCAAGCTGGCAGTGCTGCAACACAAGAGCGAGATGTTCGGCGAGTTTGACTGTTCGTGTGAATTTCCATCGTTGGCCACAAGTGGCATGAGCGCCGCAATCAGGAGCAAACTGACAGTGCTACCTAACTGCCGTTGTGTATAGCAACATCGACCAAGAACAACGGAGGACACTGCGATGCCTTGCATGGTCATTGGGGGGGCTTTCCGTGCCTTGTATGAAGGATCAAGCTGGCCCGGCTCTGCCAACCCTTGATGTGCGCACGGGGCCAGCTCGAAGCGGGCCCGGTCCCCATCTAGCTTCCTCCACCCCTTTCATCCTGCAGCATGAAGAGGCAGCGCAAGGAAAGTTTGCTGTATAACGCAGGTGCTGCAAACTTGCACGACGGCCGCGTCAGGGTCGTGTTGATCTCGACCACGGTCGAGCGATACCAGCCGATGCGCCTGTGACCAGCGCTAAAACAGCCCCCCTCCCAGATTCCCCTGCTCCCCCTGCGGGCTCGCAAAGGTGAAGTCCGTTCACACAAATCGCTGGTCAAACGCATACGGTCTGGCCACATGCGCAACTGTGTCTCTTGCAAGTGCAAGAAAACCCCTCGGTTGACGCAACATGCCGTCAGGGGCCTTCGCTTACTTTGAAGTCGGTCAACGGACGGCAGTCACCCCGGCCCACAGCCCAGGAATTTCTCATGAGTGGTCGCAGCGGCTTCTTTTACGACCCTTTGCTTGGGTGCATTTTCTTTGAGGCCCCAAAATCCATTTCCGCTTGGTTCAAACTCAAGCCACCCAAATCACCTACATTGCCCGCCAATTTTCCACAGCTTGGGGTTTGGTAGTTGGATGTGGTTGGCTGACATGCATTGCACCACCAATCCCAACTGGTGCATCCACCTCTAACCATCCACATGGGTATGGGTCAAAATTAAACCACCAGGGGACCACAGGTGTTGGTCCATGTTTCCACTTGCCTTTTGGGTACCTATTTTTGACCCACAGCCACATCAATCCCTGGTGCACTCGCTTTCCACAAAGCCCATCCCCGAAGGCATGGAGCGCACCAAGCAGTTTGTGGGCATCACCTCGCCCTACGCCCCCGCCAGCAAGTGGGAGCCAGCACTCACCACAGCCTACGCGCCTTTGGTTCTGCTTCGAGTTCGGGGGAACAGATTCGTGTGGTTTTTGTGTTCATGTTGTTTGTTCTGGCATTGTTTTCAAAACCAGCAGGTGGTTTGGAGTGCTTTAAAAGTTGTGTTGTTGTTGTTCCTTGTTTTCTGGCTTGGCTGTTTGTTTGGCGTTGCTGTTGTGTTTTGCTCGATCTGTTGTTTGCTTATGCTTTTGAGAGCCTCCTTGTCTTGCTGTCAAAGGTCAGGTTGGCAATGGCCTAAGCAATGGCCCCAAGTGACCAAAAATGTCTAGAGCTGCGACCATGAACCTGTTGGACTTTGGGAAAATGACACTGCCCTGCTCTGACGGAGACGATGTTTTTGCTGGAACCCGCACCGTAGCACGTTGCTCTTTGCTTTGAAACCTGTTGCCCCACCAAACTGCTTGACCTTTGTGCAGGGGGCCAGCCCAGTCTCGGCCTGCAAACAGTGCGCTTCGGCCAGCAAACGGTCCGGTTTATTTGGAAAAGTGGAGAATCTAGGAGTTTGAGCAGGTCTCTGGGTCCGACATGTTTTTTGCTTTGGTACTTGACACGTGCAGGAAGCGCCAAAGCAAAGTGAGATTCCTGTTTGGGGGTGATGTTAACAGGCTGCATCAAAGGGGCCATCCCCACCCAGAAGTGAGTTGTTTGGCAGCGAGGGCATATCTCTCAATGATACCCCGTCCCAAACATTTCCAAACATTGAAGTCATATTGGCATTTTGGGGCGAACCCTGGGGCCAACGGACCTGTTCGGATATAGTGGGGTTGTCTCCAAATGCGGGAACCTCCAAATGGGTGGGTGTTTTTGGGTTCTCTTCAAAGCAAGCCAAACATGGGCGCCCCAAAACAATGACACACCCTGGGTCCCAAAAGTGTTGACTGCAAATGCCGAAGTGGCATCCCAAAGGACAACATCGGACAACCCAGAGTTGGAGTCTTTGGGTAAACAGGGCAAAGGGCTTAGGTTGGATCCTAGGACTGGTTCCAGTGGTCGCTTGATGCCTACCCGCCCAACCACGACTTCTTCCGCTTGCTGGGGGATTTCCACAAGGAAGGAGCGGCAATGAGTTCAAGAGTCCAGAGAATACCTGCTAGCCACACAAAAATACATTGCCCACGGCTTGCGTGGTCTACATTTAATGCACTGTTCGCTACACCACTCGCTTGGTTCAGGAGGAGGGATGAGGATATGGGTATGTTGCAAAAAAATAACCCCCCCATCTACAAAAACACATGGTTGTCTTTTGGATTTTCTCTAAAACGTATCCCCAGAAGATGTTCCTTGCGTCTTGGTGGATCCTTTCATTTCGTTTGGAAGAGGCCTAACCCACCGAATTCTTTCACAACATGAAAGCGATGGATCCACGTTTCTTAGGCCAATTTGTCGTGGGCAAATTTGGGCTGGCCTCTGAATCGGTTTGGTTCCGTTTAGAGGTTCCCCTTATTTTGGGCAGGATAATTCTTGTGATTCTGCCACACCTTCTTATCCTTTTGGTTTGCTGGGTTTCCCACTAAACAAGGTTATCCGCACAAAGGGGGTCCGATTTTTTTGCCGCGCCCGGATTCCCCAATGGCAGCTGTCCCATTGATGCTCGCTGCTCGCAAGGAGCAAGCATCAGTCGCGCTGACATGGAAAGCTGCCCGGCTGTTAAGATGGTAGGGGTCATTTCAGGGATCGCTTTTGAAGATGAACATTTTACGGTTCACTGAAATATGGGCCAGAGTCAAATGGTTGGGCGAAAGCCTAGCTGAAGATCCGAAGACCTGTTCGTCCCCCTCTTGGTCCTTTCGTAACTCATCCTAGAGGGGCTCCACAAATGCCACACCCAAGCCAGTTTCTGGGTTCCATGCCCATCTGGAGAACTGTGTGGCGTTGTCTCCAAGGGAGCACACAAAATGAGTTTGATTCCCCGAAACACACTATCCCACAAAGGGTACCCGCAAAAAAAGACACACCCACGTCTACACAATATGTATATATATATATAATACACTTGCAGAGAGCAGATGGGTAACCACCCCTTAACCTCCAAACCACCAATTGGAGGGAAGCTGAATATGTATATATATATATATGTATAGATATATGCACATATGGCCATGCACACAGATCAGTGCGGTTGCTAATCCCCCACTGTTACGAGATTAGCCCCCAGTGCTATTCAACAGTAAAGGGTGGACATTTGGTCCTTGGAAATTGAACCAAACCACGAAATTGGTTTGCATTCTGGGCTCAGCAGTACTTCGGCGGCTTACCTTAAACCACAAAGCTTCTTCAATTCATGTATTCAGGTAACTTGATAGTTGTGCGCGATTGCTAAAACCTGCATCGCGAAAGGCCGGCAATTGGGCAGCGGTTGGGGTCACATCTACATGTAAGATGGGAACAACTTGCCAAGTTGGCTCCGTGATTGGCCCCTTTGTGGTCGCGATTGGAGCGAGAAAGGCCGGCGATTGGAGGGTGTTCGGGGCAAGTAATAGTACAAAATAAATAAATATATATATGTATATATATATATATACATATAATATATCTATATATATATATATATATCAGGCGTTCCTACTCCAGCCTCCGCTCACGCGCTCCAGGCATTGCGGCGCCCTACACGGGCGCCGTGCAGTGTGCATACTGACACAACTGGCACGCTGCGCTGAGAGCGCCCTGACGCAACGGAGACGCCAGCGCTTCGCTATCCCCAAAACCCATGAGCCACAGTCTCAAAACCCGGGCAGATGAAGCTTAGTAAGGGGCAGTCCCCTTGCCAGAAATAGTTGCGGATATCCGCCTTCTTAATTCTTGAAGCATGGTTCTGGGTAGACCATTTTAACACCAGGTTATGATTGTGACTCCCATGGGCAATAGTCCGTTTGAGGAAGATCTCGAATCAGCACCCATGGATGTTTCAGCCCTTCTTTTTGTCCCGGTGCAAAAAGGCTGCTGGGGATTGAGTCATTGAGTCGATCCAATCAGCGGATATCCACGTCTTGATTGGGCAACTTAAATGGCAATAGCATACAGGATTTGGTTTGCAAATGCTTCCACCCATGGTGAAGATCTTTTCTTGCCTGAATTATTCTAGTTCACCCAGATTGGTTGAGCCCTTTGCATTTGTTGCTCAGTATTCCGGTCCGCTTGTCCCATTCTGAAGAAAAACATACTGTGGTTCAGCATGGACAGTCACTGAAACATGAGACCCCCAAACATAAAAAACACTGAGTTTCCTTTGCACGCCTCCGTTGGTCGGCGCGGTCCGTACTTTCGCTGGTCGATCGGAAAGCTACTCAGGATTTCATTTTGCTGATTGGAGGCGGGAACCATACGTCCGGTGACACTGTATCCATGTATCCCTTGTAGATCCTACCATATCCTACCCTCGTCTTGGAGGGTCCCCCCCCCTTTTGTGTGTTTCTCCTTCCATTTCACTGGTACCGTGACAGAGACTTTTGGAGCGAGAGCTAGTGGTAAGAGACTCTAGGGGCAACTGGCGGATTCTTTTCAGGGATCCGTCCTTGCAAGCCACCAAAAAAGCCAGGCAGACACCTGATGTTTGAAAGGAACCGTTGAACATAATGGGCCCAACCAACCTGGCATGGAGCCACCTGCCCCAGTTCTGAGCATGGCATGCCAGCTGAGCGGTTGTCACAGCTTTTTCAAACAACCCCAAAAAGGGCCCACGCCTTTGTTGCATGATCTGGTAGGCGTGATGCCATTGTGGGGATAGCTCAGAGGCAATGCATTTGGGGATTGTAAAAGGGCCTATATGGGTATGGGTCAAAATTAAACCAACAGGGGACCGCAGGTTTTTGTCCATGTTTCCATTTGCCAGGGTTCCATTTTGGGTACCTATTTTTGACCCACAGCCATGTGATTGCAACCACATTGATAGAACCAAAGGTCACTCAATCTTTGGGCGCTGATCTAAGGGATTCCCACCCCATCCCAGGCAATCGAAAGTGTCCCCGCCCCCATACGGCAGATGCTGAGTGAGTACAAAGCAAGTAGTTGGCAGCCACACGGCTTTGTGGATTGACTTGCGCGCAAGAGTATGCCTTGTTGTTGATGCTACCCCATTCAGGGAAGTCTGACAAAAAAAGTCGAAATGAACAGAATTGACAGTGCCCCATGAAAGCTATTCACAAAATAGGGTGTCCCCCAAGAAAGGTGGGCTTCCTCATGGTTTCCCTTTACGTAACAAAGAAGCAGACTGGGGCTTCTGGTTTAGTCCATAGTGGGGGCACAAGGCCAGATTTAGCAAGCCATTTGTTTAAATGAAAGGGCAAGTCCCCAATATGCGACACATCCCAAGCCGGGCATGAAGAACCCTGTCTCAAGGTTTTTTCCTTAGCAGCGCTACAGAGGGTGGTAAACCCGACCTGTGGATGGATCCCTCAAAGCGGAGCTCGTCAGGCCGTCTGCACGAGCACGTGCAGCTCATGACGGAGCTGAGCGCTGCCATGGGCAATGAGCGGCTGCCGGCTGAGCCAGGCCGCTTCGCTCCCTCAAGTTTGGGGCGGGAAGTGGTTGGTGACGCAAGGGCTGTTTTATTTTTATTAGTGCGCTTAGGGGGAGGGTTCCCCTACTAGAATAGACTACATGCAAAAGGGTACCCTGATTCTAACCTCTCTACTGGAGGACCTGGACCTCTCTATGCGCTGGTAGGTGAATGGGTCATTCGATCTCTAAGATGTTTCTTCCACAAAAAGGGCCAGTGTTTTGGAATCTTATCTCACAGACCTGGCTCATCCTTCCGGGGTTCTGGAGTTATACTTGACAAAACATGGAGCCCTTGGGTCAGACTTTTTGTGGGCGTCGGGAAACCGAGAAAACCGAAATCCATTTTTTGGGTTAGAATTTGGCACACACCCTATGATATTCTGACAGTGGGCTCCCCCCTCTCAAAAAAAGAGTTGTTGCCAATTTGGCAAGCGCGGTGGGGATGAAGGCTAGATAGGTTGCGCGGTGCTTCCTCGCCATCCTTTTCCAAAAGAGGCCCTAGTTCTCACAGGCGCAGCAAAAAAAGCCCGTGGTTTTCGACTGTTATTTTCGGGGTTCTTATCATTAGTAGGTGTTTCTTCAGGGTGAAAGAGATGACGCTATTCCGTTTGTGTGGATAAGGAGAATGACGAAACCAACATGCTGGCACTGCATTTCCATGTGCTTTCACTCTGTAAGGGGTTCTCTTTTTGGGGTCGGGAAACCAAACGACAGGATGCCATGCGCAAGGGTGGCGCCTAAGGGCTCCCATGATCTTCGCATTTCAGTGGGTCGGTCTCAACATGAACACCAATGCCACAGTGCGAGGTGCAAGACACCCAAGTGAGCTCGCTTTGTTGACTGGCACAAACCATGGCCTAAGCAAGCTCCTGGCTGTAGATACCCATTTTCGGGGTTGAACATGGACATCTCGGCAACAACATGCGCTCGTGAAATCGGGATGGGTGTTGACACACATCTGTGGAGTTGGTGTACGCGTCCAAACAGCGAACCCAATTTACCATGTGTTTTTTGCCAGAAACCGCAACCTGCCACGGTCAGTAAACCTCATTGCCCTCCAAGGGCTCGACCCCAAGAAATCTGCCCAGAACACGCCGATGGTCTGGTGGTTGAAAGTTTAGGGAAACGCAGGGTGGGAGTCGGTGGGAGAACCAGATTTTCAGAAGCTGGCCATGCGTAGCAGCACGGGCCACATCCATGTTCTTAGGTAAGGCGAGTAACACCGTGCCCCCCTTAGAAAGGTTCTCAGACTTCTTCGTTCAGACCCCCCTAGAAAGGTTGCTTGCGAACCTCCTCAAAAGGTTGGGGCGGGTCTTTGTTTACGGAGTCTTCAAAGAACGAGGGTCTTTCCACATTCAGACAAACAGTTTTCTAGGACGTGTCTTTTTAAGGGGACCCCCAAAATGACGGCTTCCTTTTTAATTGCCACAAAGGGGTACCAACCGAGTCGCGGCGGAGGCAAGCCATCGCCAGGGGAGCTTGTGGACCGATGCTCGCAGGCTTTGAAGGCGGGGTTGGGCCTGTGTTGGACATCCTCCATTTCCCCGGTTGGAACTAGAGCGATCGTTTCAATGGAAACCACCATGGCAGGGGGAAATCCAGTGATCCCTGTTGGAGGTCACATTTTGCACTTGAAGTCATCGAAGGGCAAAACACCTGGGCATCCTTGGCCAAGTTGGTGGGCTCCGGCTCCGACATGTTTTGCCATTCCATAGCTCAAGGGGAACACTACGAGCTCGATTTCTTAGGCGTATGGGTGAGTCGTTTTTGAGGGTACTTCTTGGCCATGTTGAACACATCAGTCGATGTGCGTCAGCCTTACCCCCACTGCACCATACCATGTTGAGGGCCTTGCTACACTCTCATATCCCTACCACTACGATTGTGCATCAAATAACTTGCACTGCGCGGTGTTGACGGATCTAGCCCTTGTGGCCGCAAAGCTAACTTTGTGCGTACGCACGCCCGCGAGCAATGTATCCCTGGCATTTTGCTTAAGCTGTTGTTTGCATGTTTCATGTTGCAAGTTCGCAACCGCTGGGGGAGGGAGTGGGAGGGTAGCACGTACAAACACTTATCACAAACATGCATATGTATGCACACTGCCTGACGCGTATGCGGCTACACACACCCCTTATGGGCCTCCTAGATTGTCCCCCGAGCTCGAGGGGGGAACGTCCCCCGCTAGCGGGTGTTCGTTCGCCTTGAATAGCAACGGTCAATTTTCAAAATGTAGTTCTCCCCCCGCCATGTTGCCAATTCACCCTGTTGCCCTACTTGACTTAAACCAAGTGAGTGGCAGTTTGTCCCTAAAAGCCCAAAAAAGAAAGGGTTGCGGGCTCCCCTGGCATTGGACCAAGGGTGCAACCCCATTTGCACATGGATTGTTTGAAGCAGCGTCTGGGGGTCAAGCCCAAACCTGTTGGGGCATGGGAGTGGTGAGATCGTTCAGTGAGAGCCAGTACTTGAGTGCCAAAGAGGTTGTTGCTTGACGGAGGCTGGATTTCTGGGACCCGATCATGATTGATGCAGAGGGACAGTATACAAAACCTATGATTGCGTTGGGTGTTTTGTTTGCAAAAGCGGAAACCCCGCTATGTGCCAAGAGTATTCCTTCGTTCCCTTTCGCGCGATGTTCCTTTTTCGCGTCGAACCGCAGGAGGCGGCGGGCGAGGAGATTGCGGCCAACGCGGCTGGGGTTATCGCCCTCTTCGCCTCCATCACCATTCCCGCCTTTTGGACCTCACGGAATGGATCGGACGGGGGAACGTTCAGTATTCTGTTTGATACTTCCCCCTTAAACACGGACCAGACGTAGGGTCCACCTGGGGAGGGTATATCACCTTTTATTACGAATTTCTGGGGTCTCACGCATGCTATTTTCGGGTTGAAGCTGGTAAAGTGATCCTCAAATAGAGACCTTTCTTTCAGTCCTGGATCTTCCGCATGCCCTGGGGTCTGTCTCTTCCTCAGGATTCCAAAGGTTCGCAGAAGTGGTTGCGTTTTGAGGGCTTCTCAAGGTCACTGTTTCGGGGGAGTCTTTGGGCGAATCCGAGGACTTCAATGGGCCCAGTTTTTGGTTCAATAGGGTTGCTCCGAACCTGAAACTGACGGGCCCTTAAGTGTGGGGTTGGTCGAGGCGGATCATGTGTGGAAACACCCGTTTTGGTGTTCATAAGAAGCTGTCCCAACATAATACGCACAAAGACGGAACGAGCATTAGAATCGGATGGCAGCCCCCTCGCAAAACAAAAAGCAAAGTCCTTTGCGGGACCAAAAGGAATCAAGATGGCCCCATTTGGGTATCTTCTTGAAGATTGGCGATTTTGGGCATTCGAAATTCATGGGGAGTCGGCCCATATTTTTCAGAGTGCTCTCATGGAGGTGAATTCCCAATCGGGTGTGTAGAACAATAGGCGGAAGAAGAGGGGGTTACGAGTTTATGTTTTTTTGCTCCAAGATGCTCCAACAAGGGGCCTAACGGGAGCCAAGCCATTTTTAGAGGTCTACTATGTTTGGAAACAGTCGCTTGTTGATCTTCCAACCTCTTCAGTGCCGAAAGCTCTACTGCTTGCCGACTTGGTTGCTGTCTATGTTTGACTGATGATGGAAACCTACATTTAACAAATGCAACGCACTCCAAGTCAAAACCATGATTGAAATGTCCAAGAACAGAGATGTGAACCCAATAGCCGTAGGCTAGGTAAAGGGAATTCCTGCGGGTTGTCTTACAAATGACATGGACAAATATGGACAATACATCCGCAAAATGCTTCTCGAAAGCGGGGCTGCGCTTTTCGGACGTGTAGAAGTGAAAGGACACTAAGGGTCCGAACAAATTGGACAGTAACCCATGGCCATAACCTTTGGGTTTCCATTGGGGACAATATGCAAAATCAACTTTAGCTCCGACGGAAACATCGCTGCTGTCCTTTGGCGAATGGGAAGCCCCTGTTTCATTTGTGTGTGTGTGTCCAATTTTGGAGGGAACCTTTACTTTGGAGGTGGCTCCTCTTCAAAATTAACCAACAACGAACAAGGCGCGCTCTTTCCTCATGGAAATCCGCTCGCGAGGTTGATGCCAACGGTCACAGCTCTCACGAGTTGGCGATGCTGCAGCCGGTGCGGACGTCGACGAATCCGACCGAATCCGAAACAGTGCTACTTCTCACTTCTCCCTCTCTCTGGACTCAAACTTTTGGCAAGATCTTTCTGGGGTCATGAGTTGTCTGTTTCTAGGGGGGTATCAAAGTCAGAAACCACTTAGGGTGTGACTTTGATCGTTAAAAAATAATGGGGTCAGTAATTCTAGTGGCAAGCAAAAAGTTCGAACTTTGTCTGACCCCAAAGGGTACTCATACGTTTTGCCAGCCCTATCTTACCTGTTTGCCGCTTTGTCCTTTTTGGGTGCGTCTAGGGTAGTTCTTCCTTGGTGGTTGGAAACAGAAACCAGAAGGAAGACAACGATTTTGGCGGTTCCCCCAAACAAAGACCCACCCTTTTGGGTTTCCTTTGTTTCTGGGTTGATTATCTTCGCATATTCCGGTCAGCCAATCCTTGCGATCCTCGAACAACGCGCACAGAATCCTGCGGGCTGTTGTATCAAAGGGAACCATCTAAGGGAATCGTGCTTGCCGGTCTCGCTTGTCAATGCGCTCCTAAGCCTGCAAAAGCCTAAACCAAAACTCTAAACCAGAGAAACCCTAAACCAAAACCCTACAAAGACCCGAAAGAGGCAAGAAAGGCAAAACTCAAAAAAAGAAATTAAGACAGATCGCAGCAAGGGGGGGGTATCCGTAGCCCCCTTCCATAGCCTCCGCCACGAGACTCTGTCATTGTGTGGGAGATCGGCGTTTGGAGTGTTCGGGCTCTTTGATGGGATCTGCTCTTGGATGGCGTATAAGGGGAAACCAAGAACCCAACTGTAACTGTGAGTTCTAGACACACCCATTTTGAGCAGCTTGAACAGCAGCTCGAGTCTTTTGTTGGATCCGTGATTTTTCAGGGGGCATGCAATCATTCCATTTGGGGGCCCGCCTTGTTTTATGCCCATTTGGAGTCCGACCGACATGGTGGTGAAGACGTTGGTGGCTCTCTGGCCTGCACTCTACCCAGGTCCACTTGGACGCCCTGCTTGTGCCGTAAGGCTCTAAGCACTCCGGAACAGGTCTCATTTGTTGAGTAAGTGTCCCAGGTTCAAGAGCAAACCTCTTCGGCTCAATGCAATGTTGGTGGGTGGTGTTTTTCAGGTCGGAAATATCGTTGCTAGGGTCCTCCAAAAAGTATGCTATGTTTTGGGGGTAGACTAAAGATGGAACGGATTTGCTGTGCACCCCAGTTGCGGGAGTAGAACAAATCAAGAGATTCTGGAGCTCCGCGCAAGATATGGGTTGTTTGTCGGAGTTGTATCCGCATGCAGGTGGTGAACCGCGTGCTGCGGTGGAGGAACGCAGCCAAGGCCCTAGGAGTGCGAGTGTTCGTTTGGTTTTTTTGAGGGGGAAGGCAGTCCAAAACAGACGTGGTGAGCCTCTCTCAAAAACCTCGTTTTTCTTGAGGGAGCACTGCAACAGGGCAGGACCTTCCCTGAAGGCTTGCTTTGAAAACCTGAAATGTTTGTGCTGGAGCTCATTTATGAATGGTTTTACAGTGAACCACATCTAAGCTTGATAACCCCCCTAAAACAAAGAGCATGCCGGCCCGCTCGGCTTGTGCTAAGATCATCCACAAATCTCTGATGTGGGGTTAGGATTGTTTTGAGCCCGAAATAAAGACTAGCGGTGGCCCGAGAAAGTTGACAAAGCACCCCGGCAACCTTAAACAGGACACCCCAACAACGCGAAATGCACTAAAAGCTCCAGCATTTGAATCCAAAAAAGGAAGCTTCAGCAACACTAAGCAATCTTTCGGGACCTCAAGATGTCTAGACAGCTCCCTTGTTGCGGAGGGCCTACCAATCCAACTCACCAATACTAGAGGGGTTCCAACAGACTTTGGGAGATCAACGCAAAGACTTAGAAACTCGGTGATGTTTGACCCAACCCTGTTTCCAGTCTCAGAAGGACCTTAACAGGGATCCCTAAACGGGTTAGGGTCTGAGGCAGTTCTGGGCAAAAACAGCTTTGTTTCAGAAGACAAGCAAGGTTGAGGCAGAGCTGTTGATTTATAGTTTCTTGTAAAAGTACTGGAGCTTTTGCAGGCTGCCCAAAACTGTCCAAGCTTGCCGGGGCAATTTTGAGCGAAATTTCAAATGTGCCCATTGGAGCCCATTGACGATTAAATGTGCTTGATATGCCTGAACTTGCCTCAGCTTTTGCTCCACTTTGCCTTCACACCTCGATAGCCGCTGGGAGACTGCACGGCATTTTGTCTCAATTGTGCGCAGCCAATTGTTGACATTCAACCATCGCCCAGTACTGCCCAAAACTGCCTGGGACGGACCTTGTTTGCGTGATCCCCGTTAAGGCTGCCAAGCAGTCCTCCTATTGTCAGGGACCCTGCAACCCTTCCTCATGAGGGTACATCATTCCGCTAGAATACCTTTCTGAGTTGATAGGTTACAGGAAAGAGAAACTTGGCCCCAGTTTGGAGCTTTTAGCTGGCAAACCCATGTCTCGGATGGAGAAGCCGATTGCAACCGGCCTTTTGGGCCAGAGCGCAGGCAGCCACTGGCAGGGTCCACTGCTGCCGACGGCGCGGGGTTCACGCGTAGGCGTGCCTTGGTCCGGCCATCCGAGTGCAAAACTCCGAAGGCCGGTCACAGCTGCGATCGGTTTCTTCGTTTGGCCCGTGGTTCAAACCGTCAGCTTCAAATGTCCCGCTTGTAAGGGCATCCGCATAAAATCAAGTGCAACAAAAGTGCCCGTTTTCCCCCATGGCTTCGGCAACAAATCAAAGCCCATGCGACAAGCTTGAAAGACATGCTGGATCGGTTGTGCGCAGCCAGATACGGAAGCCTTATGAGAAAACAAAAGCACTGCCGAATACGGGTTGCACACAACCAATGTTGGTCTCCCGCTACTTTGTTTGGGTTGATTGTTATTTTTGATAGAGGACACGCACGCACGGGTTTCGTTCGAGCTGGAGCCATTGCAAAAGCACGGGGGTAATATAGCAATGAAACTCGAAACCGCGGGAAAGACAAAACACTAGGCGATGAAGGTGCACGTTCAGGCTGGCATCTGGAACAATCATCACTTGAGATTCCCTTCTCTCCAAGTAGGGAATCATTGTAATTTGCTCGCTGCATTTCAGGTTAGGCAGTGCATCATTCGCCCGGAGGGGCTTGCAAGAAGAACCCGGCGCACTGCCTCCCGCGGTCTTTTTGCGGGGCCATTTCTCACATTTTTCGAGCTGTGAAGGCATAGCTGCTGTCTCACAGCCCGCTGTTTCGCAGGTCGGGGTTGGGCAAAGAGATGTTTGTACTCCCTTGAACTTAAGTGGGCCAAGAGTAATTTGGTTGGTTTGTTTCTATCCGAACAGGGACGAACAATGCCTAACATGGACTAGGGCCAAGTAAACCTCAATCGCGCCCATGAGGATTTGTTTGGGAAAGTGTGTGTGTGTGTGTGTTTGCCCAGTTTGTTGCCCTGCGGGAACACTGTGGGAAACATACTAGGTCTCTTCTCTCTTCAGCAGTTTTTCCTTTTCGATGAAAGCGCTAATGCTCACTTCAGGTTGATCCGGCCAACCACTCGAATTCCAGAAATCAACAAGAAGTGTTCCTCACTACAAGCGGAGCCGCTCCTGATTGGCACGGTCCTCCAGATGAATCCGATTAAAGTGGCAAGACACGGTAAACTGTCTTTACTTGCAATATTTAGGGCGCGCCCCCATGGTTCTTTTTTCAAATCCCATGTTTCCTCGTGATATCATTTGGCGTCCACATCTTTGCCCAACATGATTTTTACCGACCATGCCTCCGTTTGCCTTTTCAGAGGAATGTTACCACAACGGAACAGGTGGGGGCGGGGGGAAATTGAACAATTACTCGGTTGCTCATACTATGATCATGACAAAGCTTGATTCGGACAACCTCCTTCTAATGATGTACGATGATTTAGGCCTTTTTGGTACCTTTCATCCATCAAAAGGAACATGTAGAGGATTGCACCGAAAAGGCACCTGGTTAGTTCCTGTCCTTTTCGCGCTCGCCTGCAAGCGAGCGAGCGCCTCCGCGTACAAAGCCGATTCCGCTGGCCGTGCCAATGACGTAGCGGCAGCTATGCCAAGCTATCGACAGCTCGGCCACACGGAACGGCGAAAGCCATCCATACTCGCAGGGGACAGGAAATTATTAATAGACATGAGAAGGCTAGCTGTCGCTTAAAAATAGATGAGAGAGAAAGGAGAAGAGAGGAGAAAAGAGGAGAAGAAAAGGCTGTCGTGACAAAGTAGATGAGCAGAGGAGAAGAGAAGATAACAAATATTTCAGATACGTCATATTTGGACATAGAACGTGTTATGTCATATATTTTCTATTCCCACATATGGTACCTGTTTTACAACCTGAATACTTGTTACCTGTTTCTTTTGATTCTTACCTATTTATTACGATACACATTGTGTGTTTTTTTGGTTTTTGTATTTTGATTTGTGTTATTTAATGTTATATGGGAATATAATTTACAATATTGATAAATATTATTCGAATATATTTAATTTCATTGTTTAAATTTATAAAAAAGATATAATTGTGTTTTATTGATAAAATAGTTGATATAAAAATATATAATTGTATTGTTGTATTTATTGGAATTTATTTTTATGATATATTTGTTTGAATTGAATTAATATTATATATAATTATATTGGGAATTTGAAAATAATATTAGGATAATTAATTGGAAATTTATTGGTTATTTATTTAATTAATATGTTTGATTTCTCGATTCTATAATGTTATTAATATGCTCGAATATCTCGAATTAAAAATTTTAATTAAATTATAAATTATATATATAAATATCAAACTAAGAACTAAGTGTTAAGCGATTATAAAATATTATAAAAATTAATAATTATTATTATTAAATTGAATTATATTTATATAATGTATTGTAGATTTATATTAATTATTTTAGTTTAGAAATATAATAATATAAAATAATAATATTGAATATATATTTATTGGTTTGCTTTAGATTGGAAGATGTTTAGATGGATATAAATATCGGCTTTTTATATTTATTTACAATTTTGTTTATATATAATTTAGTGATATTTTATATATGGAGATTATATTATTTAAAATCTATTCGAACAAAATGGAAAAATAAATGGGATATGGCGTATTGTGATGTGTTTTTTGTTGGTGTTATTTTTGGGTTGGTTTTAAATAATATATAATTTTTAATTATGAGGGATAAGGAACGGTTGAAATTTGGATTGGTTTTGTTTAGTAGGGAAGCCAAAGAAGGTTTTTTGGAATGTTGTTTTGAAAAGGTATAAATTTTGTATTGGTTGGTTTTTATGTTTGTTCGTGCGTCGTGGTGATGTTATGTATGGTGGATATTATTATTAAGTTGGGAGTTTGTGTATAATTAGAGGTTTTTAATATTATGATTGATTTGTATATATTTTGATATTTTTTATTTTTGTTTAAACGATATGATATATGAATTATAAAAAAAGGAATGGTATAATAATTATTGAATATTTTTTACATATTTGATTAAGATATGATTATATTATGTTGTTTATATATAATAATATTGTTATGATGAATAATGATTTATTTTTTTTATATAATATATTTGATTTATATATGGATAAATGATCTCTTTATAGGTTAATTATGAGAGATTAGGATCCGGATATAATATTCGTGTATGTATGTTTTTATGCTAATAATGGCAATTTGTTGTTATATTTTCGGTATAAAATTATATTGATTTGTGTTTGGTTTAAATAATCGATTTTATAATTTAAATTAATTCTATATATTGATATTAATTTAGTATGATATAGGTATATAATTTATAATAATTAAATATATTATTTAAATAGAGTTTGCTGTGTTTTTGCATAAACTAATAGAAATTGATAATAATTAAATTAATAAATTATGAAAATTTATGATATATAGATTTTTTCGCTTAATTATTAAATGGTCCAAATATTGTTTTGGAATTTCTCAAAAATATCCAATATTCCCGACAAAATATCAAATTTTATAATTTTTAACGAATATTAATTTATTTTAATAGCCTTCTAATTCTTAATTATCCATTCTTAGATAATTATTCTATCGATAATATCTATCATAATTCTATCATTCAAAAAATATATAGTATATAAAAATAATTCGAATCATAATTATATTAAATTATATTATATTAAATAATATAGAAATGTATTCTTCTTTCAATTTCATTTCTTTATAATATATCATATTTTTAATTTAATTATATTATAATCAAATATTATTATTTATTTATATTATTATTATGAATTTAAATGATATAAATGTATTAGCCGCTGCTTTTCAGTAATGTGCGAGATAAAGCCCATGGCAGAGAAAATTATTTCCTATTCCTCCGTAAGATTTTGAACCAAAACAGGCCCATATAACGCATTCGCAAGCCGGGCCGAGGCAGCGACTAAGAGGTTTTCGAGCTTCATGACCCGGTGATACGTGTTACCAGCCTCTATCGCTAAATTGCTCAGACTTAAGGCGATCCAACCTACATGGTCTAAGACATGATATTTCAATTCTTGCTCTGGGGTATTATGCGCGTCTGAGCATGGCATCCTCCAGTTTCCATCAGAATTATCCTAGCTCTTTGGCCCTGGACTTCATAAATTCATATAGATTGGCCCACACAATATTAGCTAGATTTCATGAATTCATAGAGGGTGACCTACACAATATCAATTTGCTCCAATTATTGGTTTGGATTAATAATTTAGATCGAAGATTTGGAAATTAGGAGGTGATTTCTCATTTAATTTGAAAATGATATAGGAATTCAATCCCCCAAATCGCCAAGGCACCCCTAAATTGAGGCGGGTGCTAAAAAAGAGAAAATAATTATGAGAAATAATTCTAATATATTCTAATCCATGAAATATATCCTACAAACCGAGACCAGAGCGTCCGCAAAGACACGATCTCACGAAATTTCATATACTCTTCCTAAAACATCGATGCATATTAACAACCTCTATCGCTAAATTGCTCAGACTTAAGGCGATCCAACCTGTATGGTCTAAGATATGATATTTTAACCCAAGCGTGACATCCTCCATCACAAGTATCAGTATCAATTAGCTTGCCCCAATTGTTGGTTTGGATTAGTGATTTGGATCGGTGGTTTGGAAGGTAGGAAAGAATTTCCTATTCAATTTCATTATAATTAAGGAAATTTCATTGTAAAAAACACCAACATAGACCCCAGATAGCACACCACAGCCACCGAACCATGACGCAGCATCGTAATGGTTCCCGCGGCATCATGATGATGTTAACAGCATCATGATGATGTTGACAGCATGATGATAATACCACAATAACTTAGCATGGTGCGCTAAATAGACGCGCAGACAACGTCCTATTGAACGGCAGAAAAAAACAGAGACGACGTCCTGTTCGACAGTATCATAATGACGCGAGCAGTATCATAATGATGCGGACAGCATCATGATGATGCCGGCAGCATCACGGTAATACGAACAGCATGATTGTGATGGTAGAGGCAGCCGAATAATGATATCACAGCCACAAATCATCTTGCAACAGCGTAATGAAATTCAACAATATCCTGATCTTGATAGCATCATGACGCCACCGCACCCGCGAACCATAATGCAGCATCGCAGTGATTCCAGCAGCATTATGACGTGGTTAACAACATCAGGATGATACACCAGCCACGAACCACTACGCAAAGCGGCACCTCCACCAGCAGCCCAAGCTGGATGCCCCCTAGCACCCGGCCGTCAAGCTCGCAAAACAGCATCCACCAGCACCTACATGTCCCCCAGCACCCGGTCGCCAATCTCGCAAACCAACCACCCAGCCCCAAACTACATGCCCCCCAGCACCCAGCCGTCACCAGCATCCCAAACTGCATGCCCCCTAGCAGACACCCCACTAGCACCCCAAACTGCATGCCGCGTAACACCCGGCCGTCAAGCTCGCAAAACAACACCTCACTAGCACCCCAGAATGCATGCCCCCCACCTCCCCCAACATCTCAAATTGCATTTTTAGCACGCCATCAACCACCAACAGCCAAAGCCGAATGCCACCCAGCCGTCAAACTCGCAAAACGGCATCCACCAGCACCCCAAGCTGCATGCCAGCACCGGGCCATCAATCTCGCAAAGCGACACCTCCAGCAACAACCCAAATTAAATATCCCCAAAAGCAGCATCCACCAATACCCCAAATTAGCACCCAGACCTCAAATTTGCAAATCATTTTCCCTTCTTTATTAAAAATTAGAATTCCTATAATTTTTGCAACATAATAAATACATAGTAGAATTGTTCGGGCTTTAAACGAAATTATTGTGTTAAAGAATTAGGTTATATATGTATTTATTTTTAGTAATATTAATAATTATAAGATATGGTCGATTAATATTATTCGTTATAATATTTTAGACGAATATAATTCGGTATATTTTGCCGGCATGGGTTTTATAAGATTTGTTAGGGTATTTGAAGTTTGTGAGATTGTTTTTTTGCGGATATTTTAATATTAATTTATATATTTTTTTTGATAAATCTCGATTTATATTATTTTTAATGGATTAGACTATATTAGAATATTGTTATTTTCTTTTATTGGTATTCGTTTAAATATACCCTAAATTATTAATTTAAATTAATTCTTTAATTCCTTAAATAATTAAAATTCTTTTATATTCCTTTCATAATATAAGATTTTCCTTTCGCACTAAACCTTTAAAACCTCCCTTTACTCAATTTTAAGACTAGCAATTTAAAACAACTCCCAAATATATTTTCATAAAAATATATCTTATATCTTATAAATGTATTTTTTTATTATAACTTTGTTTTAAAATATGTTCCTTTCAAATACAATAACTAACATTTGTCATAATATCGTGGCCGATTATGCGCCAACAACGAAAATATAGTTATATTCTTGATAAATATTTTAAATAGTATCATGTTGTTCCTTCCGCTTCCCGACATCGCCGCTCCAAACACACCCACTTCCTCTTTTTTGAGGGGAAACCCAGAAAACTGGCAAAGCGCGCAAGCCTTCGGCTACATAAGAACAAGTTTAATGGGACACAAGATCCCAATATCTATGTGTTAAACTGCTTTTGAAATAGTATCGGGAGACTGTTGCCGAAAATCATAAGTTCAGCTGGAAAAAGTTGCGAAGGGGGCAGCTCCTCAACGGGGGCTATTGCACATCTAGGGAAGGCTCGGGCACTCAGCCCACGTAGCCAGCCTCGGTGTCCTCACAATCTGTGGGGCTTCTACTTCTGACTCACCTTACGGGGAGTTGACCCAAAGGTCAAAGGTCTGTTGACAAATCTGCCGGCACGGTGATGGGTCGCTGAAAAATCGCAATGTGGGGGTCCCCAAGAACATGTCTCTGACCTCCCTCACTTTATCGAAGTCGGAGAGGGGGTAATGCCCCTAGCAATGCGGTTTGGTTCGTTTGCCTGAATGACACGCAGCTCTGAAACGATTTGGTGGACAGCAGCTACACGAGGACTTATGATTTATGGCCCCCAGTCAGTTGATTGCCAAGAGTCGATCCAAAGTTAGTCATGTCAGTCCAACAGTCAGTCCACTATCAAAACTCGTGGCTTGAAATACCCCTCGTGATTGCATTGGAGAAGTGTTATGGCAATCAAAACTCGATGCTGTCGTCGCATACTACAACTTCCACAGGGGTTGTCTCAACATTAGGACCTTCAAAACAATCCGCCACAGAGTTTGTCTCAAAGTTCGGCTCTGAAATACTTTCCCTTCTGGTTTCCCTTGACACATCAAGTCTTGACAACGGCACCACGCGTCGCATCGCGCTGAACGCGGCTCCTTCTGCCGTTTCTGGCGCTGCTGCGCTTGAAGCAAGACCAAGGTGGTGCCCAGGGAAGCCAAGAAGCCCACGCCCGCCATGGCCCCTGCAGCTCGTTTCGGATAGGGTGCCACGTTGTCAGGCCCAAAAGCTAGACAAACAGTGGCCACCAAAGCTGGCTGACTGAAGCCCCGAAGACCAGGTGCGTTTTGCGAGGTGCCACAAGCAAGCACTTCCCCATTCTCACTTCCTACAACATGATGGCTTTTGCTAGGACTGGGGAGAATGGACATAGTGGAGGGGAATGTAGCGCACCTTCAGGCCGCTCCTTGAACCCACCACAGCTTGCTCCAAGTTTTTGCGAGCTCCCAAAGCCTGCGTTGATCCCGTTCGAGCCGCGTTTCAAACAATTGCGCCTGTGTAGACAATGTTCACAGTGCCATCCGTGTTTTCCTGGCAGGAACTCATGCAAGATGAGCTAGGCTGCAAAGAAGTGAGGATAGGTGCAGTTTGATCTGATCGTGGTCTTAGACCCCTGCTTCCTTGTTCTCGTGGGAAACAAACAGGGCAAAGGACAACGGAATGTCGGCAAAATCGCTGGTTGCGTTCTATTTGTTATGGCCCTTTGAGACTCACATCCGGCAGCATTGCGAGATTTTACGCAGTACTGAACACGAGCAAAAGTAGCAGCAGTAGTAGCCAGAACCCTCGATAACCTTCAAGCTTCTGACTGTCAACATGAATTGCGTGTCTTTCACACGGTCCTCCAAAATCTCGCCATTTGCTACTAGCCCAATCTACTACAAAGCCAATCAGACGCAGCAGCCTCCTACTGTACCTAACGTTGCGAAGCAGAATTGTAGGAGAGCTCGTTTCGATTCATGGAAGCCCATGTCCTCCCCAAACCAACGGACCGATGATATGGTCGGCGACTCATCTGAAAATTCTACGTAAGATTGTCCGAAGCATGATCGTTCGGGGTCAAGCCGGTAAGCTCGTGATAAACCCCGAACATTTCCAGGCACTCACGCGGGTCCTTGGCAATGGAGCATGTCCTGTGTGGGCGGCTGAGTGCCGCAAACCCGTGAGCCGAACGCGGGAAAAAGGGAACCCAATTGAATTGGAAAAAACAGATTGCTCAGGCGGTATCCCCAACAACCCCGAAACCTGCTGGAACCCGCCGGAACCCTTTAGAGCTGCTCCAGATCACTCCGGAGCTTTCAGCCGTTGAGGAAAAAACATCATCCAAATGGTGACCATCAGAAAGGCCTTAAAAATCACTTTAGTTCACCAGTTCGAAGAGTTGTACACTTTGCACATAGGAACCCTTTTTGATGGAAACCGGCTGGTAGAAAGCCTGGTACTTTTTGCATTTTTCTTGCTGTTTGCTGGGTAGGGCTGGGGGAGAGGGGGGGTGGGGGGTAGGGAGGGAGGGTGGGGGGGGGATGTTACGTCGCATGAAAGGCTTGCACGCACGCGAACACATGCCTGTGCACTCAGGTTGATGCATGGCCAACGTTGGTTGCAGATGCTGACAAAAAGCCTCTGGAGAGCCACCATGTCCATCCCAGCAACCATGAATTTGCTAGAACCTTCTCTTTGACGAGGGGAGCACGCAAACGACCCGCTTGCTGCGTAGTGGGGACTGATGGTAGCAAGACTATATACCAACTCAGCCTCGTGTTAATGTGTTTCGCTACATGCATAGCTGCGTGTGGAGGTATCAGCTTCCCATTGAGAAAGATTTCTGCCCTGCGTTGGCGGCTGCAGTTTGGTGACTCAGATTTTCGAGCAATTGAACTGCAACAATGCAAAAAACATTGGGTGTTTGACCGTTTTTGCTGTCCTAATTCTCCCTTTCACTGCCAAGCACGAGCCAGGGATGACAAATTGCGGACAAGTCAGGGGAAAATACGTGTGGCGCAGCTTTCGGCTCCAGTTTGTTTGTTTTTGTTTTAGCCTGTGACCTTTTTGGTAGGCTGTCTAAGTTCCGTGAAGGAGTTCTGGCAACAGCCAGATTTATCAACGAGCTTGGCCAGTTGATTGGATCCTGTCAAGTCGAGCTGATGGGTTCAATATCTTACAAGCAATCCCTGGGATGGTCTGGAACCTGGCAGCCCTCGAACAACTGGGCAGTTTCTTCAACAGGTCAGCATCCCCCCAAACAAAAACATCAAACATGAGTCTATGCAAAGGACCAACGAGCCAACAAAAAAAAAAAAATCTCACCCGCCTGCCGGAGAAGCCCGGCTGGCAGAAGCAGACCCCAGCATCACAGAGCCCACGCCAGTGGCCTTGGCAACGTGAAACTCGAAGTGCTTTAAGGGTCTGTCTTTTCGTTGCCTTTTGACACCCCTTTTCTTTCGGTAAAGGGAAATCAGGGACACCGCCATTTGGGTGTCGAAACCTCGGGGGCCTCTCGAAGCCAGACACTACCTTGGTTGCGAAATCTGCTCCCCTGCTGAAAGTTTAACTTTTGGTGGTTTTACGGAAAATCCATTAGTTGGCAAAAAGTTCAAGTCCTAACATCCAAGCAAAATGCCAAAATTTTAGAAGAATGCCTCTTCCAAATCATGGAAATTTAACGTGAAATCCGGAGACCACCGCTTTTTTTAAGGCTGGTATGTTGGTTTTAAAAGGAATCCGAAAATCAGCATAAGACTACTATTTGGGCAAAACACACGCCTTTTTGTGGAGGGCAAAATCCAGCTAGTTGGTATTGCCCAGGATTAGCACATTCGAAAAACGGGGTTGCCCGGAAAAGTATGCCTCCTTCTGCTGTTGTACATCCAATGACTCCGGCTGCTGTACCTGCGATGTTGCATCTTTTCAAGTCCGTCAACACAGCTGGGGCTCCTTTAGTGCCAGAAGACCTGCGGTGATGGATATCCAGACAAACAAACAGACAAACAAACAAACAGAGTTCATTGAAGGTTGGGCAGAAGCCAAAAACTGGATCCCGTTCGCACCAGCGAGGTCCCAGCAGTTGTCCTCGCAGTCGGGGTTCGCGGCGTCCACATGGCCGTCCTTCATGGGTGCAACTGGCGGTCCAGTTCACTTGCCAAATGGGGTGGCCTAGAAAAACAAAAAATGAATTTGTTGGGACACCGAAACAAACCCGACATGCGCAATGCCAAATGGCTGTAGGGCAGGTCGACTCCCAGGAATCGCGTTTGATCTTTTGAATTGAAATGGTGTTCCAAGTTGGTCACACCGAAATACTGAAACCAGGTACCCTTCTTTCTGGAAAGCAACAAACTTTACTAAAATTCCCAGACTGGAAGTCAGACCCCAACGGCCTCACAAACTCATTACAAGTTGTCATCCTCGATTCTTCCGACTTCAACCTCGGAGTCTGGATCGTCTCTCTCCTCGTTCACCTTATCAATGCCGAAGTCGGAGGCCGAGACGCGCATCCACTTCTTGTGCTGCCTTGGCCGCGTACGCTCAGAGGTCTGCTCCCCTAATCCCCCTGCAATTGACATGGAACCCAACTTGGCAAATCGGAGAGGGTGTGTGAGGTTCTAGGCAACTCTGGGTGTATCCGGGCCGCTGTACCAAACAACCACATACAACCCAACGCAACCTTGGGTTTGTTTTCGATCGAAAACCCCATACAGAATACCTTACAACAATATAAAACAATCCTATTTCAACGAGCTCAAGGCTTCGATGGCTCCCAGCGGACAGCTACGCAGCTACTCAGTGCTGCGTGCCAAGCGGTGCCGGGCCCTTTCTCATTCAGCCAAAACAGTTGGATCTGTGTGGGCGTGTGTTGCCTCCCACAAACAAAAAAACAACAACACTGCTGTTCCTTTGGTGTCCCCTTTTCGCCAGCCCCGAAAGGAGTACCCTCCAAAAACAACCAGACCAACAGACA